ACGTATGTTTCATCTATGATGCCATTTGATAGCAAGTTTTTATTGGCTGATCTGTCTGTTTGTGAGTGGGGCATTAAAATCATCCATTATTATTGTATTGGAATAAATCTCATTCTTCAAATTCAGCAGTATTTGCTGTATGAAAGTGAGAAAATTGGTGCTGGGTGCATGTTTAGAATTGGAATGTCCTTTTAATGGATGGTTCCTTTAATTAGTATAAAGGGATCTTTTTGATTAGTTTTAATTTAGAGTCTGTTTTACCACAAGTAACAGCCACCTCTGTTTTCCTTCTACTTCTATTTGTTTGGAATAATTTTTCCCATCTTTTCCAGATTAAGCTGTATTTACTTTTGTTGGCAACCCGTGTCTCTGAGCCAAGAGTTGCTTATGTTTTTCTTAGTCTAGTTTGCTAGTCTGTCTTCTGATTGGCCTATTAATATTCAATATTAATATGTGTGTGTTAATTTCTATTGTTTTATTGCTTTGCCTCTTTATTCATCTATCTTTTACTCTTTCACATAGCACCACAGATGTGTTCATCTCTCTTCTCACCAAAGAGCTCCTTTAAGTATCTTCTTTTGGGTGTGTGTGTTCTATAGGTGTGATGTGTGTGTGTGTGTGCATGAGTGCATGTGGTGTGTGCGTGTGCGTGTGTGCGTGCGTGTGTGTATAGACAGCAGGCTGTGATATCAGACATTTTATTTTTGAGACAAGGTCTTTCATGAAATCTGGATCCTACAGTTTTGCTAGAATATCTAGCCTGGAAGTTCCAGGGATCTGTCTGTTCCCTGCCCTTTCCCCCTATTCTAGTGCTGTGCTTACAGCCCTCTGCAGGGCTGGTTTAGTGATTATTATTGAAAATTTTCCTTTCATCTTCAATTACAACAAGTCATCCAGCTGGATTGCTGGTTACAGTGTTGACAAGTGTTGTCTCTTGGAACCTGGGCAGTTTTTATTTTCAGCTTGACACACATTTGACAGAGAATGGTGATTCTCCATTCTCAGAAGAATTGTCTTGCCATATTTGCCTGTGAGGAATTGTCTCAACTGACGATGCTCCTCTCCTTTAGAGCTTCTGTTGAGAAATTTTCTGTAATTCTGATAGGTTTGCTTTTCACATGTGACTTGTTGCTTCTCTTGCAGCTGTATTTTCTATGTTTAGTTTGGTAATTATCAAACATGGAGATTCTTCTCTTGTCTTTTAAGTGTTCTGTAACTAATGACTCCAGAGTGTTCATGGTCATCTCTTTCCCTAAATTTGGGTTATTTTCTGAGATGATGCTCTGAATATATTATTTGTCTATAGCCCCCTTGATTCATACGCTTTGTATGTTGATGGTATCCCATAGATTTCATATGTGTAGTAGGGTTTTTTCCTCTTTAATCTTTGGATCCTTTGGGGGCCCACCACCAAGCTCCCAAATCAATACATGGAGGCATATTCTTATTTATGAATGCCTGGCTTTAGCTTGGCTTGTTTCTAGCCACCCTTTCTTAATTTATACCATCTACCTTTGCCTCTGGGCTTTTGTCTTTCTCTGTTCTATGTATCTTTCCTTACTTCTTTTCTTGGTGACTTGCTGTGTAGCTGGGTGGCTGGCCCCAGATATCCTTTCTCCTTCTCCTTTTGTCACTCATTGATCTTGTTTTCCAAGATTTCTCTGTCTATTTATTCTCTCTGCTTGCCAGCCCCACATATACCATTTCCTCCCGAGTTATTGTCTATTGAGTTATTGAGTCATTGTCTATTGAGTTCTTTATTAGGTCAATCAGGTGTTTCAGACAGGCAAAGTAACAGAGCTTCACAGAGTTAAACAAGTACAGCACAGAGGGTTAAACACCTTTGTGTAAGAGGAAGTCTGATGCCGCCATTAAACATGTGACTTATTAGAGGCGCATACAGATGAGGTAATAAAAGGGCGGTTTACCACACCGCTAACCACACCCACTTTAGGCAGGACTAAAGACGTATACGGCTGGACGTAAAGACGTATACGTACGTAGGCGGAACTACGTCACTAGCCAGGCCCACTTTTGGGCATGGCTAGGGGCGTTACGGGGGAAGGCATAAAAGACAGCGCACAGGAAGTCTCGCTCTCTTTTCCTGGAGTTCGGCTTCCGGTCCGGCCGCTAGCTGAGAACTAGATCCTCTCGGTTTGGTATCTTGTGAGTAATTTTCTATATTAAATACTTAGCCTTATTTTCAGTAATTGTGTGTCGCGTATAGTTACAGCGTCCGTTGAAGCCAACAATTTGGTGTCAGGAGTGGGATTGAAATCCGGATCCAGGCGCCCCGGAAAAACATAACTTCTCATGGCCCGTACGGGGATCGAACCCGCGACCTTGGCGTTATTAGCACCACGCTCTAACCAACTGAGCTAACCGGCCAGCCGTATACGTCTTTAGTCCTGCCTAAAGTGGGTGTGGTTAGCGGTGTGGTAAACCGCCCTTTTATTACCTCATCTGTATGCGCCTCTAATAAGTCACATGTTTAATGGCGGCATGAGACTTCCTCCTACACCTTTGCATCATTAAACAAATGTTCCACAATATACAAAAATGTAATACACTTTTAACTAATATTCCACAACGTGTCTGCTGTACTCAGACTTCCTTATTTGTATCTTTGTCAGTTTCTCAATTTGTCTATTTTGTCTTCCATTCCTGATATCATGTCTTCCACTTGTTCTACAGTGTATGTGCGTGTGGTGAACACATGTCTGAGTGGAGGTAAGTACATATGTATGAATATAAGGAGGCCAGAGGAAGACAGTATTTTTTGCCTTTCCTGGTCTCTTCCTTATTGCCTTGATACAGGTAGGGCCTCTACATGAGCTTGAGGCTCACTTGGCTAGGTCGCCTCACCAGTGATCTGGAATGTCTCTGCTCCTCTTTTTACATGGGCACTGAGGATTGGAATTTGCTCCGCCTGAGCTCACATTCATCAAGGTATTTCCCCAACACATTGATATTCTTAGATGATGGTTAGTTCCTGTAAAATGGGGAACTATATCTGTTACTATTAGTACACGTGAATGGAATCTATTGCTTATGTCTCTACAATATGCATAAGACATTGCATACTGCCCTTTTTCTCACTACCAGTTGACCTGCTAAATATTGTTTATACACAGCATAGGAGATCTAAGGATTCTTAGTGACAGGATCAAAATTACTGCATTTTCTTTAAGAATAAACTGTAACGAATGCTGTAACTTTCTCACTATAATTTGTTGTGGTAAAGCAATCTCCTCCTTTTTAAATGATAAAAATGAACAGGTTTCTCTGTGAGGTTTTCATACTCGAATATATATTGTGTTTAATCAGACCCACCCTCTCTACTACCTTATGTCCCTCTGTTCCCCATTGAACTCTTTCCACTCTTCATTCTTCCCCACATGAGAGAAAACATCTGACGATTTAAATGACGATCTCTCTACTCTCTACTCTGGGCGAAGGACATGACACGATGTCCTTCTTCTCTTTTTAAATTTATTCATTTTACATACCAACCCCTGTTCCTTCTGTCTCCCTCGCCTTCCCCCTGCCCCTTCTACTCCTCAGAGGTGGTAAGACCTTCCATGGGGAGTCAACAAAGTTGGGCACACCAAGTTGAGGCAGGGATGTCCTTCCTCTTTACGGCCACACATCCTGTTGTGAATGCACCACATTTCATTCTCCTCTCCGACAGCTAGTCTGATTCTGTGTCTGCACAACTGTGAATATGGCCTTGATAAAGAGGGTTTGCATGTTTGCATGTTTCTCTGTGGCTTTGAAGGTTATCCTGGAACTAGCTCTTGTAGACCAGTCTGATGTCGAACTCACAGAGACCTGCCTGCCTCTGCCTCCCACCCGGCCAAAAGTCATAGTTTTATAGAGGCAGTTTTCCTGATAATTTCCCTGCTGAGTGGTCTCTCCCTGCCGAGCAAGTGTTCTCCTGTCTGGTCTTGCTATTGGGACTCATGGGCACCACTCTCCTCTCCAGGATCTGTAAGTAACAAACGCTGTGTTGAAGCTTTCTCTAGTGTCACCTGTGAGCAAACTTCAAACACCTAACCCCCTGACAAAGATCTCTCTGCTCGACTCGGTCTCTGCACCCCCTTTCTCTCTGCCTGTCTCTCAGCCTGTCCCTCCCCCGATCCCCTCCCCTTTCTTCAAGCACAAATATGTCCATTACAGAGCTTTCTTCTCATCTCAGGGTCAAGAGCTGGATGAACTTCAGTTAACACAGAAGCTGTCCATTAGCCACAATGAAAGCAGCAAAAGAAAGTGCTTGAGAATAGTAGACAAAGGAGGACAAGAGCAGAGAATTTATTTTTGTATGCTTTCAATTGGCAACGTGGATAAAAATAATGAGATTTAATATTGTAACTGGATAATTTCAATGCTCAACATGTCTCTGAATCTAATTTAGCTATTGATGGGTGAAGATTGATAATATATATGGTCGAGTAATGCCATATACTACTTTGTCATTAATCAATCAGCGGTTCATTAAGTAAGTATTAGACATTCCTGAAGCTGGGCATGCAACCCAAACCAAAAGCACAGCTAGGCTTTGCTCTCATGACTTTTATGTTTCAGATTCTGAATACAATAGTGTTTGCACTCCATTGTATTTCATCAACACTTTCCAGAAACAGTACTAAACAGGGCGAGATGAGAATCAGGCCTGGAATCCTCAAGGCTGGTTGCACCTCTAAAGCAAGGATTTATGGCTGCCTGGCCATTGGCTGGGCAGCCTTACACAAGCTACTTAGCTTTTGTTTCCCCTGTCAATGAAAATGACCACTAGGGTTTTTTCTGTTAGCATGAGATGAGTGCTGACTGTTCAGCAATTACTGTGATTGCTGTCAGCCTCTGGTCTAAACAAAAACGTACTTGCCCAACAGGATCACCTGTGGGACTTTGAAACCATCCCACAGCCTTGGCTGCCCAGGAGACCAGTCAAGTCCCACAATTCTGAGCGTGGTTTACTGGGTTCAGGGACACTCTGCTTGGTGGTTACGACGTGAAGGCAGGTCCAGAAATCAACCTTGCAGTCTGGATTCTAGACTTTTCCCCCCGTAAATTTCACCTGACTGCTTGGTAGAATCAGCGCTTCTACGCGGATAAAGGAAACTCGTATAACTGAGGCGCACACATGTGGGCCTCGGACTGTCACTTGAACACAGATCTTTCCCACTTAATCTAGAATGGGGACCGTGACTATGTGGTGCATAGCTGTGTGACCCTAAACCGTGACAGGGCTGCCATCGCAGCCTCCCTGCCCGGAGGCAGAGAGAGGGGAGAGCAGGAAGAGCAGCGCGCTGCCTGGGGCGCTGGGCCCGGGCGGGCGGTGGAGAAGACTGGCTCGGCAGCTCCCGCCCGCAGGGATCGCCACCTGGGGCCACCCACGCTCCCCGAGTCCTCCGAGCGCCGCTCCCCGTCCACCCCGACCCGGGATCACGGCCCCGGGCCGGCGCTGGCGACAGGCTCTCCTTCAGCTCCCGGCTGCACCGCGTGGCTCAGCGCCATGGAGCCCGGGCCGCGCAGCAGGCCTGCCGAGCCGGGGCCTTGCGTGAGCGCCTCGCCGAGCGCGGGCGCAGCGCTTCCGGCGTCCGGGGCCGAGCCGGGGAGTCGGCCCGCAGCCGTGGCCGCCGTGCTGCCGGCCGGGGGCTGCGGGGAGAGGATGGGCGTCCGCACCCCGAAGCAGTTCTGCCGTGTGCTGGGGAGGCCGCTCATCAGCTACACCCTGCAGGCCCTGGAAAGGTAACTGCGCTGCCCCCCCGGAGCCCCGGCCACCCCGAGCGGCAGCAGCGCGGGGGGCAGCGGGCCTGGGGCGCGGAGTGCGCGGGGCACGGGGGACACAGGGACTCGCGGGGCCCGCGCCGCCCCAGGGGCTCCCGGGGGGAAGAGCGGCTCTGAGTGCCCGGCGCGCACCGCTGCGGCGCACGCGCGCGCCCCACGGTGCCGGGCGCACGTCCAGCTTCCTGGGCTGGCAGGTTTGTTTCTGCGAGACTGAACCGTGCCAGGCGGAAGGGAGGGTTTCAGAGTCCGTTTCAGCGGTTCAGTAGCGGGAAGGGATTGGGGGGCGGGCGCGAGACTCAGGCCAAGACACCCTAGAAAAAGACGCTGGGGTTACTGGTTCCAGACCCGTCAGGAAGGCCCCGAGGACGCGGGGGGATGAGAAGAAGGGAAGTGTTGTTGCCCTTCTGATGTGATGGGGCCCAGGGGAGACTCTCGGGTTCGGAGTCGAAGGCATTACAGAGCTCTCTAGTTCTGCCAGGTCTTAGCTTCCGAAGTCAGATGGAGACCTGTGCGATGCCTTAAACCCTGCACTGCAGCGAACTGGCTGCGTTTCCAGATAGAGAGCGTCGTTTAGCATCGGCAACCTTTACAGGAGACTTCGGTGGAAAGAAAGCACCATGTCCTTGTCATTTTGTTCCGAAGAGCAACCCTCGCTCCAGTTCCCCAACACACTGCAGAAAGTCAGAGGGACAGAGAAATTGCTCATGAGATTGGTTTGCTTTCTGATTATTGGCATTTGGCAAATGCAAGTGTAAGGGGCTGTAATCATACTTGATTAATGTAATCAGGCCGGTGGTTACATCTGAAATTCAGTCCGCCCTGGAAACGATTCCAGTTACTACCCCAGTTACCACCATCCTGTGGATAGTATGGAGCTTGCTTCGTACAGCTATCCTGACAATACCACACACCTACAGAGTTAGATCCGCAGACAGGCTGGCACCACGGCATCCATGCCGGCAATTGACTGGCCTGCAATGGACATGGCATCCTTGCAGGCAATGGGGTGGCCCGCAATGGACACGAGCAGAAGAATCTTTGCTTGGTAGTTACATGGAGGCACTTGTTTTTTCTATTTAACATCTCTTTACATGGGAAATGCTTTGTATTGATTTGCTTTTTTGCATGTACCGTGGTAGCCTGAGATAGGTGAGCATTAAAAATTAAATCTTTTAATGAAAAAAAGCGTTTGGAAAGGGTTTGAAAAATATTATGGAATATAATATAAAATATAAATACTATAAAATATTGTGGAAAATACGGCAAAAGAACACTTGTTTTCTATTTTTACTTAATTGATTATAGCAGTTTGAAATCCTTATAGCCTACCAGGGAAATTGGAATAAATTATAACAGGTTATAGCTCAGGGCACTTTGATTACTTTCTCATTTGGTTAGCAAGGAACTGAGATCAAGAATCTTAGTCCCTCATGTGACTATTGCTTTGTGAGGTGAGTTTCTATGAAGAAATTTTCTTTAAGAAGCCACGTGACAAAAGGATTTTTGTCAGGGGCATTAAGTTCTGTTAGGAGGCTCAGTTCTGTTCATTGACTTACATATTACTATTTAGAATGTTCTTTCTGGATCTGAAGTTGGAAATTGTTTTGTCCCTCATAGTCACTGACTGACAGGCCCACAGAGCAACAGTACAGTAGTTCCCACAATGAAGTGACCCTGTTTTCAATGGGGCTGGTTGAAATGTCACAGAAGGAATCGGTAGATATCACAGTGTGGAATCTGAGGAGCAGCCAGGATGCCTCTGCTCACTCTCCTGACTGAGGAGAGGCAGGATGATGCTCTCTTGACAGGAGGGGGTTACAGGATGGAGTTGACAGCTTGGTGAACTTTAGCTCAGGACTGGGGCCAGTTTCTTTTATTTGCTGGATAACAGCTTTATCAATACCTGGGGATGTTTAAGACCTTGGCAGGGGCTGAAGCCAGCTGGGAGAAATCTGCAGCTGGCTGGTTCACAGAGGAGTCAAGGCCTCTTTCTTTCTTTCTTTCTTTCTTTCTTTCTTTCTTTCTTTCTTTCTTTCTTCCTTTCTTCCTTCCTTCCTTCCTTCCCTCCTTTCTCTCTTTTTAAATCGTTGTTAAGATACAAAATGTGGGGTTGGTGACTAGGGATCCACAGAAATAAAGATTCTTACCAGCAACCCGATTCCTGGTTTCAAATACTTAAGGAAAGAAAATTTTGGTTAGTGTGGAGTTGCTTTAAAAAAAGACAAGCATATGACAACACAAGAGCAAATAAATGAAGCAAACCTAAGCCATACTTATTTAGATGTGTGGGGCTGGGCTGCCCTGACAGGTCTGCTTTAACCTTACTTGCCCTATTAAAACTTGGAGGTTTCTTGAGTCCTCTTAGGTGGAAGACCCTGCATAAGAGAACTTGTTCCTTGATATGGTTCATGTTTATCAAAACATTATAATTTGGCTTCTGATATCAATCACACACACAATCTTTCTGGTCTACAATGTTGTTTTATTTAAATTAAAAATTTTTTTACATACCAATTCCAGTTCCCTTTCCCTCCCACCCTCCCATTCCCCCCACCATCTGCCCATCCCACCCCAATCCACTCCTCAGGGAGGGTGAGGCCTCCCATGGGGGATCATCAAAGTCTGTTGTATCACTTGGGGCAGGACTTGGGCCCTACCCTGTGTATGGCAGAGAGTGTCACTCCATAGGGAATGCACTGGTTCCATTGCCAGTGGCCCTATATACTGCTTAAGCATCCCCCGACTGACACCCACATTCAGGGGGCTTAGTTCAGTCTTATGCAGGTTCCCCAACTGTTAGTCTGGAGTCCATGAGCTCCCACTTGTTCAGGTCAGCTGTTTCTGTGGGTTTCCCCAGCACTGTCTTGACCCCTTTGCTCATTATTCCTCTCTCTCTGCATCTAGATTCCTGAGTGAGGCAACCCAGAACCAGAAAGACAAGCATGGAATGTACTCACTCATGAGTGGGTATTAGACATAGAGCAAAGGATAACCAGCCTACAATGCACAACCTCAGAGAAGCTAAGAAACAAGGAGGACCCTAAGAGAGACATACATGAACCCTCGGAGAAGGGGAAAGGGACAAGATCTTTTGAGTAAATTGGGAGCATGGGGGGAGAAGGGAGGGACAGAGGGGAGAGAGGAGGGGTTAAGCGAAGGTGGGAGGAGAACTTGAGGCATCAGGAAGGTTGAGTTGGGAGAAGAACAGAGAAGTAGAACAGGGAAAGCGATGCCTTAATAGAGGGAGCTTTTATAGGCTTAACAAGAAACCTGGCACTAGGGAAATGTCCAGGAATTCACAAGGATGACCCCCAACTAAGAATCTCAGCAATAGTGGAGAGGCTACCTTAAATGCCCTTGCCCCATAATGAGATTGATAACTACCTTATATGCCATCTTAGAGCCTTCATCCAGTAGCTGATGGAAGCAAAATCAGAGATTCACAGCTAAGCACTGTAACATTCGCTTAAACCACTGAAAATTCTTCTGAGCAGGACAGATGAGAATTCCATGAGTTAAACCGAGATCCTAAGAATGAGAGAGAGAATATGTGAGAAATATTTATGGGGCAGTATTGGTCCCAGATAATATTGATTACGAAAAAGAAAGGTGCTTAAGATACTTTTAGTTGAATGGTAATATAATTAATGTATAACTAATTAATTATTGATTAATTAAGAAGGTCATGTCCAAGTGAAGGGAAGAATAAAGCTGTTGTAGTTTGCACAGGTTACACAATCAGAGCTCTGTGTTGCTTTCCCTTTGAGACGCCTTCAAAACCAGGCCAAGAACAGCAGCTCTGAGACTCACAGAGCTGAGCTGTAGTTTAGAGGGCTTGCTAAGGGATTAGCAGCCCACCTGCCTCACTAACTCAGTATTCTTCCCTAAATCATCAAAGTGGGTATGAAGAGGTGGGAATCTGTGGACAGTGGCTACAATGCCACTCAGAGTCAAGTTTCCATAAAGACAGTCGCCTTAGAAAACATCAGCTGCCACCTGTCCCTTTAAGGCCAGATTTCTGTAGCCTGGGTAAGAGTCTTTTGTAGGTGTTAACAGGGCTTGATTTTCTCCAGTTTTTTAAAATAAGAATTGGTGTACATGCTCTGTTTTCAACCAGTTTTATTAAACCATCTGAGCAGAGAATGCTTGTAACATTTGTTATTCCAGGAGAAAATAACTTCTAAGACATTATATTTCCTCCTCAAAATGTCTGTAGGTGTTATGGAGCTTGGGGCTAGGTTTATATTTGTTATGGAATGTGCTTGGAAGGAAATAGTCATGAGGATTTGATAGAATTGGGCTGCCGGGGTTTGGTGTGGACTTGTTTCCAGCTCAGAGGTAGACCAGATGCTTCTATTCAGCAAGTATTTATTCAGCATGCACTGTGTGAGGTACTTAAGGCCTTTTATAGTCTCGTGATTTTTGCATTATTAAAAGTCTCTTACAGAATTAAAAATTAATTCTATGACTTGAAAAGAATGTGAATAAATCCTTTGAAATACAAACAGCACTTACAAAAACTTGTAGGTCCTGGGTATATCCTTGATTATTGAACAAAATAGCATACTAAACTTACTACTTCTTGAGCGGCATGAAATAATGTTTTCTACTACTTTTTTTGAGGTACTTTTTCCTATTTCGTGCTATACATTCTATTCTCATTTCTGTTTAACCTAATCCCAATGATACTAAATTTAACTTAATAGGATGTAACAGTTACTCAAATATGCACACTTTGAAGAACAGTGGTTTGAAACATTTTAAAGCTGGGTATAGTGACTTATAAATCTGTCAGTCAGGAGACTGATGCAAGGGTTTAAGACCAGCTTGGTGTTGGTTGTGCATTCCAGGGCAGTCTGTACTGGACACCATCTCAATAACAGCAATCCCCCATAAAAGAAAACAAACCCAGGCCTACTATAAATTCAACCTAGTAAAATTAGGGCTAGAAAAAGATGGTTTAGTGGTTAAGCGCACTTATTGATCTTTCAGAGGACCCGGTTCTGTTGCCAGCGCCCACAAGACAGCTCACGGTCTTCTAGTCTCACTGGACTGCATGCACGAGTGCGCATACACGTATGCAGGCAAGACACTCCTACATTGAATGAAGCTCATACAGTTGCCTGAGAATGGTCTAAAGCTACAGATTTAGCTATCCATGACTGTTTACATCTAGTTTATTCTAAATAGAAGAAGTCATTGAACGAATATTTGAATTCTTATTTGTTATGTGTTTCCCTTTCATTTTTCTTCTGGATTCTTTCAGAATTTAACTAAAATGGAAAGAAACAAAGGTAAACAGTTTAGGAATCAAATTAATCTCTTGCTTTACAAAAAAAAAGTCTGCCACTGATGTAAGTTGATATTTACTGTAATTACTTCTATTTAATGTAGAGGCTAACATGGGACCACATTAGATAATTAGAGTTTATCCTTGTAGCCCTGGCTGTCCTTGAACTCTCTTTGTAGACCAGACTGGCCTCAAACTTATATGCATATTATGTAGATCATCCCGCCTTTGCCTTCTGAGTGCTGGGAGTAAAGATGTGCACCACCTCACCCTGTCTTAATAATTTCTTAAAAGCCTTAATTTAATGCTTTTAAAATAGTTTTATCTAATTATTTAAGCATTGTCTTTAAGTTAAGTAACTAACTTTGTTCAGTTAGAAAATATTAATATATGGTATGTTAACATAGGGCATAGTAAAGGTTCTGTCCTAGATGCTTGGTTGACATTTGTTGAATGTCCCAGTAAATACACGGATGAAGGTAAACTTTCCTTTGTTGGAGTTATTAGAAATTACAGGAAATTGAATGTCTAACTGTAAAAGTAGCAATACCACATGTTCCAGCCCCAGTAACAGTAATGGTCCAGAATGGTCCAGAATGACCTTTTCCTCTCTTAGATGTCACACTTTCCTCTGAGACAGTGTTGGTATATTTTTATGGGTTAAGCGTGTAAGCTCCAAAGTCAGTTTGGGTTTAGCCCCATCACTTCATTTTCTATTGGTGTGGTTGTGGGCAGGTCATTATCTCTGTGTCCTCAACGGTAAAATCAAGACCATAGCAATTTATCCCAAATAGCTGGGTATTGAGATAGTGTATACAAATTCTCAACACAGCCCACAGACGCTAGCAAAGATTCTACATTTTTAGCTGTTTCTAGAACTAATAGTATTGAAATATGTTCCAAGTTCTGGGATGTAGTCTTTCCGAGAGCCTGCTGCCTAGTGAAGGAGATAAAACCTTACTGGCCACAGCATGCTGCTTAATAATCTTTGGGCATGCATCCTTTGAAAGTGCAAGGTAGGGGATTGCACCGAGCTTTGTAATCCAAGGAGGTTTCCTGGATTGGAATGTTGTTGGGCTCCAGCTCCCATGGGGTCTCTGTGAGTTGCTTGTCAGCCAATAACCACAGGTGTATCCTGTTTTCTAGTCTGTCTTACATCCCTGACTTTGCCCCACTGGTATCAACCTCTAATTATGAAAACATAAACTCTTACACCTGGGGTTTTAGCAGTTTGCTGTAAGTCTGTATATAAGGCTGCTCCCTCCTTGCAATAAAGACACACACACACATGCATGCATGCATTCTCTTAGCACAAACAGCCAGAACGTCTTGTCTTTCATTTAAATCTCCAAGCTTTTTCCCAATACATTAGACTTGCTCGTGGCCTAGTGAGATCAGGAAAGAAAGAAGACCCTGAGAGATCGCCCTCAGAGGCTGGCCAGCAGGAATGATTTATGAGGGTGAATTGAAAATGGGTACCTCAACTTCTAGGATTGTTAAAGAAACCAGGTACTGGTATTAAGCGAAAGACACTCAGGCAGAGGCAAGGGGTTCTCTGTGATTTCAAGGCCAGCTTGGTGTATGGAGTGAATTCCAGGACAGGCATAAGTAAACGGAGAAACCTTGTCTCATAAAAGGAAAAAATAAAAGAAATAGAGTAATAGTAATAAATAAACAAATAAATAAGCCACATAAAGATGCAAAATACACAGAGTCTGGATACTGTATGCTATTGTGTTGCTTTGAATTGTTCAATTGCTAAGGAAGGAAAAACAACTGCTAAAATATACTTGAATATAAATGCTGCTGAATTAATCCAACTGATATATTTTAAAAATGCTTTGACTTCAAAATTTAAGTATAAGAATATGTTACTTTGGAAAAGAGATTTTATTTGTGTTTCCACAGAAAATGAAAAGCTGTGGATTCCTTCCATATTAATATCACTCCAGACTAAGTCATTTTGAAATGTCTGATAAAATATAAAAGTGATTGAGAACCTCTTACTTAGGATCTAAGGTTAAAATCAAGGAAACCAAACCAAAAGTGTTGTAAGATATTATACTATGGGCAATTTATTCATTCAGTAAATGCTTTGATAAGCAATTTGTATATAGCAAGAGAGATATATGTTGCTATGGGGCCCATACTCCAGAAGGTGAATTAAACAAATCAAATCAAACCAAACCAAACCAAAACAAAAAAAAGCCTCAAACCAAAATTAAGGAATATTGTATTGCCAATGAAAAAAGTGGCATTTTCCAATCTTTATTCATTTCAAATAAAATAGAAATACAGAGGTATATATTTCTATACTATGAAAGATAGGAAAAATACTATATGAATCTATTACATAAATTATAGAAGTATATTTTATTTATCATATAAGACATATCATACAAATGTCTTCTGAAAAATACTTCTGTGTTTTTCTGAGTCCTAGCAGTCATTTTCAAATAAACACAAGAGACTTAATATAAATTATAAATACTTGGCCAGTAGCTCAGGCTTATTAGCCCTTAGGACTTAAATTACCCATTTCTATTAATGTACATTCTGTCACGTGCCTCCTGTCAACACTGTCTGACTCCTCCCTTCCTCCTCCCCTCATTCTCAGCTCAGCTTTCCCGCCTAGCTTCATCCTGTTCAGCTATTGGCCAGTCAGCTTGTTTATCAAACCAACCATAGTTTCACATATTCACAGAGTGTAAAGGAAAATTCCACATACCTCTGCCAGAGATGGTGTAGAGGTATTACATGAATATCATACAAATTAAAAATGAGAAGTGCGTAATACATGTTAAGTGCTTTTCTTGTTATCTATAATTTTGATTCTTGATACGTTTTTAGGACTTACCTATTCTAGCATGGATGTATAGGGTTTTATTAGCTTATAATTCTATTTAATTTTTATTATTTTCAATTAATTTTTTGTAGTTAACATATAGACTGTTAGAAAATTTAAGTGATTTTTTTTTTAACTCAGAATTGACACTGTGGGCCAGAGGCATTTTCTGGTTTGGGGCCATTGAAACGTGCAGGTCCCCATTGCCACTTGTTGACTGGCACTAGTATCCACAATCCTGTTAAAGTTTCTGATTCCAGAGGTAGTCAGTCTGGGGGAGGTGTGTGAAGTCAGACAGTTTTCCTGTTTGAGTGGTTGGTTACAGCTTGTCGGACATCTTGAGACAGTCAAGGGTAGAACTCAATAGTATTTTGTGTTGTTATTACCCCACTGTGGGAGAAAATAATAGGAATAATATAAATTTAAAAGTATATTCTTTTGTGTGTTTTCTCAGACATTTTATAGATATACATTTTGTTCAAATTTAAATGAAGTAAAAAATCTAATGTATCTAATACTTTATGTACCATGCTATCTATGTAAGATACATATAGTGTGAAAAATCACCTGGATTGATAGTGTGACGTGCTTACTTATTCCCAGACCTGATCAAGACACATGACAACTGAGCTTTCCACTATAATCTCCCAATGTAGGTTGATAGATACATATTTGTACTGGAACTTAGTTTTCTTTTATTAGCTTTATAACCTGCTTATTAAATGCACACATGCTTTCTTTGTAGAGTATGCTGGATAAAAGACATTGTTGTGGCAGTGACAAGGGAGAACATGGAAGAAATGAGAAACATCATCCAGAGGTATGGGCATAAGCGCGTCTCACTAGCTGAGGCCGGAGCCACACGCCACAGGTCAATTTTCAATGGCCTGAAAGCTCTAGCAGAGGACCAGCCAGACGGCAAACTCACTAAGCCAGAAGTTGTGATTATCCATGATGCGGTGAGACCTTTTGTTGATGAAGATATTCTCCTGAGAGTTGTCATAGCAGCCAATGAACATGGGGTGAGTGCCGACACTGAGGATGGATAAGGGGTGATCAATGGAGTATGGTTTATTGGCTGAATTTTGATAGAAATGTGTTTGACTGTCTACGTGGGTACAGTGACCATAAGCCCTTTCTTTAAGGCTGTCATAGCACTGTGGACTGTGGGACTTGAATGTTCTTTTGGTCATGTCATTTATCGTATTGTGACCTGAGCGACTGGAGGATACACTAATGATGCCATTAGAATATATGCCTATGACACTCATTTAACCCTTCCTTATCCCCTCACAGGTAGTTAGCTTTTCTTTTTCTTTTCATGCTGTACTCTACCAACATGTATATATGTATGTATGTATGTATATATATATATATATACACATATATAACTGGCTAGAGAAAATGAGGTTTATTTCTTCCTGCTATTGTAGGTAATGAACGTGAGTTATGAAAGAGGATATAAAACTAATTATTTTTCTGGTTCTGATTCTGTTCTGAATTCTTTGTTTTTGGTGGTGGATGAGTATATCAAATATATTCAATACTGAAAATGTCAAATGTAATATACAGTTTCTATTTCAATGCCAATTCTAACTGTATATCATTTCACTAAGCTGTATATAGACTTTGGGTCTGGTTTTTTTTTGGTTTGTAATGTTTTTATTTACTTGAAAGGTTTTTTTCTTTTAGAAGCACTCTTATTTACATATCCATCCCCCCATTCCCTCTCCCTCCCATCCTCCCATGCCCCCTACTGAATCGCCCAACCCACCCCCACACACTCCCCAAGGATAGTGAGATCCTCCACAGGGGACCACCAAAGTCTGTCACATCATTTGGGGGAGGGGCTTGGCCCTCCTTCCTGTATCTGGGCTGCAATAGTATCCCTCCATAGGGATTGGGCTCCCAAAGTCCATTTGTGCTCTAGGAATGAACACTGACTCCACGGTTAGAGGTCCCATGGACTGCCCTGGCCTCCTACCTGGCACAAGTTTGCATCCTAAATTTGAGACACGGTAGTGTGACACTATTCACGGGGAGACATGAACACATGTCTACTCACCCCAGATAGGGAACCAATGACAGATTAAAGTAAGGGTACCCCCGATGTCCAACTTGATGAGCCAAGGAGTTTAATTGGTGTAATTTATAACATGTGTGTGAGTTTGTTACTATAAAAACTTCATGAAACTGCTTCCACATCGGGACATGAAATTTAGCGTAACCTAAATCTGTGTTCCCAGGCTATGGTCACTCAAATTTGGGTCCAGAATAAATGATCTCTTATTCCTTTTGAGGTGAGAGCTCTGTTGTTTTTCACTGACAAGTGTTTGTGGCAATTCTTATTAAACTTCCATTTTCTTACATTTAAAAGTCAATCACATATATATCTTAAAATCAACACCTTGTATTTTCAATGAAATTTGGACCTTTCTAATTACATTTAAAAGCATAATTCAAAACCAAGGTTTTATGGCATTAATTTTTAGAAAAAAACATAGGAAATATGGTTTCATTTGGAGACATTGCCTTGGTTTTATGGATGGGAAAGGATGCTTTTCATGAATGGTAAAAATCATGAGTTTCATATGGGTATGTGTATTAAGGATTTTCCTCAGTTTATTAATGATTAGCTGGATGTTACAGTTGGTTCAAATTTAAATCCAGAGAAACACAACCTTCTATGCATAAAAATCAGTTCTTAGATGAACTAAAAGACAGACAAAACTGGATTTTCATGGAGGAGTCGCCCAGGCCCCACTAGATAGAACATATTTGTGTGTTTATAGGCAAAGTTTATTGAGCATTGCTCTAGTTACCTGCAAGCTTTAGGGTGAAGAGCTTAAAGGCGAATTTTTGGTAGTGTGGGTGGGTCTGCTCTAAGGAACAGGTTTTCCACTGATGCAATCCTGTCCAAAGTTTCCATAATGGGCTGGCAGTGCCTATAATACTGCCACAGTAACCCCGGTTACATGCAAATGATGCTCCTTGCCAACTTAGACTTGTAATCGTGAAGAAGCAAGTGTAGTTGAGATAAGAGCAGTTGGATTCAGTCAAAAGGTGGCAAACGTTGCCATTGTTTTAACCTGTCTACAAACTGTGAAGGAAGCCCAGTCACGGGCACTCAGCTGGAACCACTGCCTACATTCCATTTTAGTTTAAAAACTGTCAACGGAGATGGGCTACACCAAGCGACTGAGAATTAGCTTGGCTGCATAGAGAAGCGTGGAGTGTCACCAGCACACGGTTCCCTCAGTGTGGTTACATTCTCAAGTTCCGCGTGGAGGAAAGTTGGCCTCTCTAGGGCCAGTGGCTAGATTCTTACAGAATTCTCTCTCTGTCTCTTTTAATGTTAACTTGGGTATAAAATGCTCAGTGAATTTTTCCATTAATTTTAAAATAAATTACATCAGTTTTTCCTGTTTTCTTCTGCTTTTGATAAGTCTGTGAAATAAAATTAGACTGTTAAAATTGTTTTCCCATGGAGATGAAGAGATGGTTAATGGGTTGCCTCATCCAGCCTTGATATGAGGGTTTCTTCCCAGTCTTACTGTAACTTGTTAGGACATGTTCTATGGATGCCCTGGGAGGCCTGTTCCTGTTTCTGAAGGGAAATGGAGATGTGGGGGCAGGACCTTGGCGTTCTGGAGAGAGGGAAAACTGTGGTTGGAATGTAGTGTATGAGAGAAGGATAAAAGTTGGGAAAAAGGGGCGCGTTTTACTCTTGCCGAGGACTTAAGTTCATATCCCGGTGTTCATGTCTTGTGGTTCACAGCACTTGTAACTCAGGCTTCAGGAGATCTAATGCTCTCTTTTGGCCTCTGTAGGTGCTTATACTTATGTCCACAAGTCCACACTGACACATCACTTAAAAATTAAACACTAGCAAGTAAATTGCTATTATTCCTTTGAAAGTAAGCTGCCTTCAAAAATGTGTTTATGTATTTTCCCTCACAGTTGTTCAGTTTGTAGAAACTGTCTGGATATGAGCTGCCTTTCCCCTTTCCTTTGGGGTTATTGTCCTTTATGAAATTGGACTCATATCTTCATTCTAGAAAATTCTGAACCGTTGTCTCTGGTTATTGTCCCCCATATTTCCTACGTGCCCATGTTTTCCTTTTCCTTGTGTGCATGCATGCTGTGTCCTTTTATTCCATCATCATGTCCAGCTTTTCTTTCCTGTTTCCGTGTTTTCTGGGTGTGGAGTCCTAGGTGATCTGGTTTCTGTTTCCTTCACTTTTTTTTAGCTGTGTCTAATCTCCTGGTTAGGAATCCATATAATATTTTCCAGTTCCTTCTAGTCCATTTTCAATTGTGATTAGTCCTCTTCTGGTTTGGGTTTTACGTTTTGTCCTTTAATATTTAAACCATCTATACACTGCAGCTAATTGTGCTTCTTGGTAGCGCTCCAACTTTTCCTTTCTGTTCACTTTTGCCTGTGGTTTGTTTCTTCCTTTGCCTTATAGTCTGAGCTGCACCAGATGTCAAGGAACAAGTTCTGCTCTTGTTTGGCAGGACTTTATCAGGGAGAATCCCATGGACGCGGGAGAGGGTGCATTTCTGAGGCTTGGATTTATGTTCTTTCTGCCAGCGATTCCAAGCACATTACCAACTTGGACCAGCATTGTATTCATTCTTGCCTTGCGGTTTTGTAGATCCTTGGCAACATTAAATCAAACTATTCTTCCACATATGTCAAGCTGGTCATTAGACTTTTTCAGGAGCAGCTGCCCGTGCTGTATAGGTCTAAAGCCAAGACAATCTTGCTTGCGGGCTTCTTTGACTTGGGTGTTCTCCTTTTTAAATGAGGGCTGTGTCCTCTGTGTGAGAGCCTCATCCTAACTAAGTGGTACAGGCTCCAGATGTTAGTTATCATTCTTTGTTGACTGTACAAGTTAAATATCCTTGTAAGCCCCAAAGCATTCTTCATAATCTTATTTCCTTTGTTTTCAGCTATTGTCTTTGGTACTTCTAGGAAATTTTGTCATGAGTTCAGTCATATTTCTGAAAGTCTTTTTGTAAAATTCTGACTTGTATTTACTGGTTTTGTTTTTTAAAATTGCAGTGGTTTTAAAAGAAAATCTTACTGCCATTTTGACAAAAATAGGAATCTCTATCTTTTTGTAAATGGGAAGTAATCTTAAGGTTCTACAGTTAAGACGTTGAGGTGAATAGCAACAAGGATTTCTTAGAAGGCAATGTTAGAGACTGAAAGCAATATGAGACACTAAAGAGGATTTCTTTCTTTTTTTTCCAGTTTATTTATTTATTTTTATTTCACCAGCATTTTTTAAAAATTTCAATTAGAAACAAATTTGCTTCACATGTCAATCCCAGCTCTCTCCCTCTCCTCCTCTCCTGCCCCCATTCAACCCTCCCCTAAGCCCTCACCCAATCCCCACTCCACTCTCCAAGGAGGGGGAGGCCCTTCATGAGGGATCTCAAAAGTCTGTCATATCGTCCTTGGCAGGGCCTAGGCCCTCCCCATGTGTCCGGGGGAGGCACCATCCCTCCACGTGGAATGGGCTCCCATTCATCTGGATGATAGGGATCAATGCTGATCTATTTCCTGAGTCCCCAAAGAATGCCGAGGCCTCCTCACTGATACCCACGTTCAGGGAGTCTGGATCAATCACATGCTGGCCTTCCCTTGTTCATGTCAGCTGTCTCTGTGGGTTTCACCAGCCTCGTCTTAACCTCTTTGCTCATCACTCCTCCCTCTCTGCAACTGATTTCCAGGAGTTCAGTTCAGTGTTTAGCTGTGGGTGTCTGCTTCTGCTTCCATCAGCCACTGGATGAAGGCTCTAGGATGGCATACAAGGTAGTCGTCAATCACTTTATAGGAAAGGGCATTTAAGGTAGCCTCTCCACTATTGGTTAGGTTGCCAGTTGGTGTCATCCTCTGGACACTTCACTAGTGCCAGATCTCTCCTCAAACCTATAATGGCTCCTTCTATTATGGTATCTCTCATCCCACTCTCCTCTATTCTTCCCCCTACTCAACCTTACTGCTCCCGCA